TATATATATACTCTGCGTACCGTCTGTTCACGAGAATGGCCCGACGTTTCCGTCGACTGCTCGTGGTCCAAGACAGGCGAGTCAGGAAGCGCTGCTGGTTGCCGCCCAAACAGAGCGTTATGCGGAGACACCTCGCTGTAGGAGGTGAACGCGTTGGCGGCGAACAAGGCCTCGTGCAGTAGCCGTGTGAACACAAGAGGTATTTCCGACCTGTTGAGCTCAATTTCCCCGACATGAAATAGATGGCGCAAGATGTCATTTCTGGCTTCGATCGTCGCAGCGTGCTGTCCACGCGCACGTATCCTAAGTTCAGTGCCTTCTGCCTTAAAGGCTGCTTTCGCAGTGTCGTTGTTAAGGGCGCCCTCTCCGTCGGAGTAGAGTACCTTTGCAGGTCCAGACTGCATCCAGCACTGATGATATGCATCCAGGATACTTGTCATAGTCTTGTCTGGTGTCTCCATCCCAGTAGCATATCGTATACAACGATCGATGATATGGAATATGTTGTGTGCTTGTTTCGAGAACATCAGATCACATTCCACTTCTTCATTAAATCTGCCAGGCCAGACGGTGCAGTGGAGGGCATAGCAGTGTGCCCAGGCTTGTCCCAAGCTCTGCACTCCCGACATGTGGCGCAAACACCTTTAATCAGGTTGAGTCTGACGCTATCCAGACAGATCTTACTTAAGACGAGTCTCATCTTAAGCTCTTTCGCATGGAACCAGCGCAAATGTAACTTCCGCAACTCGCGTGTTACCACGGTTGGGTCAAGGTTTCGTAAAAATTGCAGACTGGATTGTACGTCGAACAGTGGCCAGTCTGGAAGTCGTGGTCGTGCAGCAGGGTTACCCGCTGGTGGCAGAGGAGGGGCTTCTCCACCTTGCTGTCAGCCACGTCTGACTCTAACCTGTGGCAGTCGGAGATCGTCATCCGAACTACCACCTCCGCTCGAGGCAGGTTGCCCTGCAGCATGTTCAGCAGCATGTCTGCTACGGTAATATCGTGACTGCTCGCACCCGGTGTAGGTCCAGCTCTTGAGCCGGATCTTGGTGCTCTTAGCCGCGTAAGGTGGCTGGCGCCTCGGGTGGTGGTGCTGCTGGTTCAGCAGGAGCCGGTGGTGCAGGTCCTGCTGCCGGTTCGGCGGGAACCGGTGGTGCCTGTCCATGATTGTCGGGCAGCTTCCAGGGCTTGGCAAACTTACATTTGCAACGTTTTACTACGTGTCCAGGCTTGTTCTTACCGTAGTTCTTCTTACAACTCGGACATTCCCAATGGTACTCGTCCTTATTGCACCACCTGCAATGTCTGGGATTTCTGTCATGTGACGGAGAGCGCATGTTCACAGTATCCGCGCATGCGGGACACCCGAACCCACCCGACGGATGGTCTCACGATCGAACCATCAGGTTGCCGAGGGAGACGCGGATCGTCCAAGTCATGTCCCCCCACGTTGGTGACCAGCACAGTGGACGAATAAGGGTGACCATGGAAAGGATCACGATTTACCTGGAAGAGATCGTGTGCAATCTGAACAGCATCGACAAAAAGCGGCTGCACCTTTGGAATATATAATACAATGCTTTAGGTCCGTTTTGGGCAGTCCTGCTTCGAACCAGCTTCAAATCAAATGGCTTTCTGAGTACGGAAGATGGCCTCCAAGATGCGTACAAGATGATCAAGATGGCCCCAAAAAGCCCCAATCTAGCATCAATGATGCCTCCAAGACCGCAAAGATGGCCCAATCAAACCCTAGAGTAGCCCAAGAGGCTCCCAAGAGGCCTCCTCCTCCCTTCTCACTCTTCCTCCCTATCCTCCCCTTCCTCCTCCTCCTCCTCCTCCTCCTCCTCCTCCTCCTCCACCGTGTTCCCCGAACGCTTTCCAAACCGACTCGGGGAACACATGGTCCGATAGCTTGGCAGGCCTCTGGCCACAACGTTCGGCAACATAGGCGCTTCCGAAAGAGCAGGGAGCGGCGGTGATTCGCCGCAGGCGTGTTCGATATCACCAAAAAGATTGCACCACGTATATTGCTCCACACAGGTTGCACAGCACAGATTGATTGATTGATTGATTGATTGATTGATTGGTTGACATACCTACATATGCACATCACTATTCATATATATATATATACATAATGAGAGAGAGAGAGAGAGAGAGAAAGTGAGATAGAGAGAGAGAGAGAGAACAAACAAACAAACACTGTTTGAGGTCCACGCTTGCCAACATATGCATATGTGATGCCCAAGCGCTATAGCGTTGCTATGTACTGATGCGGTTGGTCCACCAAGGCATTGCCCCCTTGCCGCCCCGTGGGCACCTCGTGGGCGCTCGTGGGCACCCCGTGCCGCCCCGCGGGCGCTCGGAGGGCACCCCGTGCGCTCGGGGGGGGGGGGTCCGCCGAAGCCGACGACCCCCCCGAGCGCCCACGAGCGCCCACGAGGCGGCACGGGGCGGCACGGGGCGCCCACGAGCGGCCGCGGGGCGGCACTGCAGTGAAGACCCCGCGGGCCCAACCAGCCGACCCGCGGGGCGGCTCCGTGGCGCAGCCTCGGCGGGCCCCCCCACGGAGCACGGGGCGCCCACGAGCGCCCGCGGGGCGGCAATGCAGAGTGAAGACCCCGCGGGCCCAACCGACCACACAAAAACAAATCCCCCGACTTGGGCCCAAAGCGGTTCCTCTTTCGGCGCCTTCGCCGTATTGCTCTGCTCAGTAACTGGTTGGGTCCGTCGGGTGTTTTGCCACATTGCCGCCCCGTGCCGCCTCGCGGGCGCTCGCGGGCGCCCCGTGCGATGGGTGGGTCCGCCGAGGTTGCGCCAACCTCGGCAGACCCCCAGGCCGAGCCAAAGCTCCTGACCGTCGGCATTCGTGCACGTGCAAGCTCCCACGTCGATGCGCGCCCAGGCATGGCGTCCCGACGCCGGCGTGGTTTTGCAGAGACGCGAGCAGGGAACCCGAGGGTTCAGGGGCCCCTCCGGAGCCCCAGATCTGGCCGAAATCGGCGAGTTCCCCAAAACGCCGACAACGGCAAGCCGACCACAACCACGTCTTCGTCTTCGTCTTCGTCGTAGTCGTCGTCGCCGTCGTCCCCATCCCATCTGGGGGGGCCTGTGAAACCCTTGGGCCCACTCCATCTGGGGGTAAAGAGGGGCCTGTGAACCCTCGACCCTGGATCATATATGATCCAGGGCTCCCCCCCGAAACTAATTCGATCGCACCCCCGCTGGATGGGTACACCAGTGAGCCTCGCGAAGGCCTCGCGAATGGGATCCCCACCCCCCCTGTGGGCGTGTCCCTGCGGGGGGGGGGCTGTGAACCCTCGACCGTGGATCATATATGCAATTTTTTAGTCCGCGGGCACAAGAGAATCAGACGCCGGTCGAACGACGGGAGGGACACTCCGGAATCGAACTGAGCACCAGAAAAACATCGGAGAGGAGGGAAGCGCGAGGGAAGCGGAGCCGCGCTCAGAGCGTGAAGCTTTCGCACGCGAGCGCTGGAGGCGCACAGTGGCGTGGAAGATCCACGTGCGACGTCCTCATTGTTTCAACGCGGCGCCCCCAGAAGTCCCGACCCTTTGCCTGGGGCCGGCTTTCCACCCTGAGCCGTTTCTGACGATCCCGGGGCCCAGCGAATGCCGCCAGAGGGACCAAAAACTCCCGTCCTGGCTTTCGTTCCAACGCGAGCATGTTGGGGCCTCGATCGTGCATGAACAGGTGCCGTGGGATCCCGGAGGAACCCCGGCCCCGCCTTTGCCCGAGGTTGCGCCAACTTCGGCGGACCCCCAGGCCCAGCCAAAGCTCCTGACCGTCCCACGCGCGTGTGTGTGTGTGTGTGTGTGTGTGTATGTGTGTGTGTGTGTGTGTGTGTGTGTGTGTGTGTGTGTGTGTGTGTGTGTGTGTGTGTGTGTGTGGTGTGTGTGTGTGTGTGTGTGTGCGTGTGCGTGCGTGTGCGTGTGCGTGTGCGTGTGCGTGTGCGTGTGCGTGTGCGTGTGCGTGTGCGTGTGCGTGTGCGTGTGCGTGTGCGTGTGCGTGTGCGTGTGCGTGTGCGTGTGCGTGTGCGTGTGCGTGTGCGTGTGCGTGTGCGTGTGCGTGTGCGTGTGCGTGTGCGTGTGCGTGTGCGTGTGCGTGTGCGTGTGCGTGTGCGTGTGCGGGTGTGCGTGTGCGTGTGTGTGTGTGGAGAGAGAGAGAGAGAGAGAGAGAGAGAGAGAGTCACTCCTCGACGTGCGTCTGGGCATGAACACTCGACGTCGGGCGCAAACCGTTCCTTACTTCAGCGGCTCGGCTGCATGTGCACACAGGGCTTCCCCCCCCCAGCCGCCGCCCCGCTGCTGCTGGCCCCCGCCCCCGGCGCCAATCCGCCGCCGCCTGGCCCTGCGCCAGGCGCTTCCTCCTCTCCCCCTCGTGCCTCGCGGCCTAATTCGCGTCCGCACGCCCTACCTATGCCTGTCCGCCAGCGTAGTCCCGATGCCAAGCCGCCGACGCAAAAAGTATGTGCACACATGCCAGGAGGAGGAGGAGGAGGAGGAGGAGGAGGAGGAGGAGGAGGAGGAGGAGGAGGAGAGGAGGAGGAGGAGGAGGAGGGGGGGGAGAGGAGGAGGGAGGCCAGGAGGGGGAGGAGGAGGAGGAGGAGGAGGAGGAGGAGGGATGGAGGAGGAGGAGGAGGAGGAGGAGGAAGAAGGAGGAGGAGGGGGGATAGGAGGAGGGAGGGGAGGGGAGGAGGAGGAGGAGGAGGAGGAGGAAGGTGGAGGGGAAGGAGGAGGAGAGGAAGGGAGGTGAGAGAGGAGGAGGAGGAGGAGGAGGGAGGAGGAGAGGAGGAGGAGGAGGAGGAGGAGGGATGGGACGAGACGAGTCACGAGGAGGAGGAGGAGGAGGAGGAGGGAGGAGGAGGAGGAGGAGGAGGAGGAGGTGGGGAAGGAGGGGGACGAGCAGGAGGAGGAGGAGAAGGAGGAGGAGGAGGAGGAGGAGGAGGAGAAGGAGGAGGAGGAGCCCGGCCCCGCCTGCAGCGCGGCCAGCACCCGGCGCATGCCCTTGGTCGACGCGGCCGACCTCAGCGGGGCGGTCCGCCCGCGCCGGTCCCCGCCGGCTGCCTCGCCGCCGTGGCACCCGCCTAGGCTCTGCTCCTCCGCCCCACGCCTCCCTCCTCTCCCCTCCCTTCTCCCCTCTCCTCTTCCTCCTTTTCCTCCTCCTCCTCCTACTCCTCCTCCTTCTCCCTTTCCTCGTCCTCCCCTCCTCTCGTCCCCCCCTCGTCTTGCTCATCCGCCCCCCTCCTTCCTCCTCAATTCCCCCCCCTCTCCTCTCCCTCCTCCTTCCTCCTCCTCCTCCTCGTCCTCCTCCTCCCATCATCATGTCCTTCCGCCTCCTCCTCCTCTCCTCTCCTCCTCCTCCTCCTTCTCTCCTCCTCCTCCCCTCCTCCCTCTCTTCCCCTCCTCCTCTCCTCCTCCTCCTCTCCCCTCCTCCTCCTCCTCCTCCGCCTTCTCTTCCTCCTCCTCCTCTTCCCCCTCCTCTTCCCCCCTCCTCCTCTTCCTCCTCCCCGTCCTCCTGCACTGATGGCAGAGTATCCAAGCACTTCCTCTCCAAAGGCCCGACAGGATCGCCCGCGTTACTGTGAGGAAGTGCAATTCCCACCTGGACGGATTGAGCTTGAGTGTTTCCCGCCAGCCTGGTTTGATAACGAGCGAGCAGATGCCCTGAATGTGATCCAGCCCCAGCTTACTTCACTTATGTTTTGCGAAGACCTCCTGGCACGAGCGCATAAGCGCATAGCAGCAGTTGCGTCTGAAGTTTTCGATCTGCCCAGAATCAAGCACCAGCGTCCGCCGCCGCTCCTGAGGTCAGTGAAGGTAGCTTCGCTTCGTCTGGAGCTCGAGCAGAATCCCCAGGACAAGGAACGATGATTTGCTTTCACTGTAAGCTATGGCCTTCGAGAGTCTCAGTAGATGACTGGGTGCGAGCCAACCCACCCCTGGAAGGAGGTCAATGTCAGTGTATAAGGTTCCCCTCCCGATCCCTGCCTCAACCTAGCCCTCCCTCCGAATCGGTGGCACGACGGTGCACCAGTCCCATCGTTCATGGTGATGGATGGCCAGTTGTGGTATACTCAGTGTGCTCGATTGGGTAGCTGCACGAGCACAGGGGGAGGACAACTCCACCAGCTCCCAGTCGCTTGTCCAGGGGGTCTGCCGTCAGACGGCGCAAGGGTGGTGTTATGAAGGCTTTCAGGCTGCCGCCCCGAATGCTTCGGCCAAGTTTTGGCCCTCGGGTGACCCGATTTAACCTGTAGTTTCCCGCCCAGCGAGACGGGCCCGCCCTCGCAGGTAGAGAGGCTCGGTCGCAAGAGCCGCGGCAGGTCTTGCTGCTGCCACGACCGCGTCCCCTCGGCGGGCCGATTCGCCTCGTCCTCCCGCTCGTCCATTCCTCTCCCGTATAAACAGCTCCCCCCTGTCGCACCCCCAGGCGTGTCGGTAGGGCAGGCGTTTTTGCCTGAGACCTCCTGGCCACCTATGCCCCTGAAGATTGGAATGTGCAACGGTATCAAGACGGAGGGCGGTTCGTTTTCAAAATGTGGGTCTCGTCTAAGCGCGGCGCACATTCGTCTCAAACGTTTACAACATGTCCACGGATGCGTGTGGCTGAAGTCCCAAGGATGATCTTATTGCGCGACTAAAGATTACCAGGGCGCCGCAATCAAGCTCGCTCGCGGAATTGGAGTCGCAAGAGTTGTATCCTGGCGCGGGTTAGGACTGTCAGGACGCCGCAATCACGTTGAATCGCGGCGTTGGAATCCCAAGAATGACGTTTTGGCGCGATGGAGGATTCTCACATGGTTGTCGTTCGATGGGGCATGTCCCGCAATCAAGGTAGATTAGTGTAGGGACCTTTGAAGACGGCCTTTGGAGGGAGTGTTTATTGCAATATCAATGATGCGCCTTAGGTTTGCACTGGTCCTCCTCCGTACCCTCATGCTGGCCTCCTATCCCTCTTCCCTTCCGCCCCATTTCCCCTGCCCCATCCCTTGCCCCCCCCCCCCCCCCCCGCATCCCCCCACTTTACCATCAGCCTCCACCTTCCCGCGCCCCCCCCCTCATGTCCCCCATCATTATATGATTCATCTGTCTCTCGAGGCCCGATGCGATCGTGCTGTGGCACAGTTCGGATCGCCAATCGGTTGATTTGCAGACGACTTGTGGTGTTTGTCTCCGAGCGCCAGTGCTCACAGCAAGGAGTTCCACATCGAATTGATGCGCGTCCTGGTGGTATGCTGCGCCCGAATCACACATGGTCATGGCGTGTTGGTTACGTGGTCAGCGCCGTGCGCGCCTGCTACCAGCTTCGTCATGCGGCAGGATACAAAAAACGACAGGGCATTGACGTCCATGCTGTTTGTCATGCCCGTCTGATGCATGCTGCGACCAGTGCGTGCTGTACCCGTGGTCAAGTCACTGTCAGCGTGGGCCTCTACCACTATATTGTGCTCCCGACGTGCGTATTGTGTGGGGCAACATTCGTGGTGACCGATCTGCGCATTGTGCAAACTGCGCGGTACAATCGGATGGTGAAGTCACGTGTGGGAACTGCAGTCATCAACTCCACTGCTCGTGGACACACCTCACCCTCACACCGGCAACTCGCTGGGGATACACATATGACGATGATGTCAGAAAGCGAACGGGCGCGTGGAACTCAACCGCGAAGACGAGTACGCGTGGTGGTGGCGATGGTAACGACCACGACGCCAACGATGGAGGTAAAAGTGGTGAAAGCGCTGGCGCCGATGGCGCTGGCACTGGAGACGGGGACGATGCGATGCCGATGTCGCCGACGATGGTGATGATAATGATTCAGCTGGCGGTGATGACAACGATGGTGGCACCGATGCCGCTGGCGACGGTGATGGCGATGGTGCTGGTGGCGATGATGAGGAAGTGCCTGCGCGCAGAACGTGGACGTAAGCGACGACGTCGACGATGACGGTGGCGCACTCATTCCGACGACGATGGTGATGATGAGGATGACGATGGCAACTATGCCACTGACGATGATACCAATTGTGCGGATGAGGGTGGTGAGAAAGAGCACGCCGGCAAAAAAACTGGCACCATTCCATGTTTATACATTTAGATGCTCATGCTAAGGGCCGCTCCTGTGTTATACCTGTTCTTGTTATTGTTCATTTTGTATCTTTTCTCGTTTCAAGTATGCCGCCTGTCTCTTGAACCCCGTGTCCGTTGTCCGAATGATTATTTGAATGTTCGTCCTCATCACAATGTGCTGCGTTTGCCTTATCACACTTCATCATGGATCGCAGGAGTGGCCTGTGCAGATGGATCACCGCCGGGGGTCCGAATTTCTTGTGTGGCGGATTGCGCAAGGATTCTTTTTGTGGCGGATTACACAGAAGGGTTCCCGTTGTGACACATTATTCCAGACGCTGGTATAGGGAAGACCTTCTGCTCGGGAGGGGCGTCCATTTCAAAGCCGCTCCAGGGGGCAATGTTGGGGAACTTGTGGCGGGGCAGTCGCGGTGATAGTGATGACCGCATCAGGTGTGCCGACAGTGAGCGGGCGATCACCCCACCGCCGCCAGGACTGACACGACCACAATCCTGCATCTCGAGTACTATCATGGTGCACCCACCGTGTTCATCGGCAGTCTAATCGCCACGTCCAGAGCCACTATATACACGGCCACCGTCGCCACCATCATGGTAAGTTTCAGGCACTGCCACCATCACCACCCCCCATGGGGGCAGCGAAATTCACGACCACCGCAGTCATGATCAAGACCAGCACGACCACCAACTGAACTTGCACCGCCGTCGCAACCTTTTCTACTGTACGATGCGCGATCCAAGCCCTGCCCCGTCGATCTGTCTTACATTGTCCTGCCCCGCTTGGTGAGCCACCGCCACCGCCGTTACAAATTGCACCGCCGCCAACACCTGTGCAGTCATCGTCACGGCCACCTGGCACAACGATGAGCATGGCACCGGCAATGATGATGGGTTGGCGGTCCAGGTGATGGCGGTGATACTGGCTGTCAAGGTGTTGGTGCAGATTGTGGTGGCGGTGGCGTTGGTAACGATAACGAATGTAGCACTGATGGTTCTAGATGGCAGACATTTGGTGGTGATTGTTCTAGTGGTCCTATGATGCTGCTGGCGATGGTGATGGCGATAGTGGTGTTGTGGTACGGGCGATCCAGCTGGTAATTGCTTGTGGCGGCAATGGCGGCGGTGACGTGTTGGGTTCAGTGGCGATGGCGCTGAGTGTGGTCGTGGAAGGGGTGGTGGGAATGACGATGAACATGGCCGGGGCGCACGGCGTGACACATCATGATGGTGATCGCACTCACCTCGTCCCACCTTCAACCAATATTGGCATCACCAAGATCACTGCCACCTGGTCCACCACCGCCACCACTGGCAATATCCTCACCGTCTGCACCGCCAACAACGCTTGGAACATCACCGCCACCACCGCCCGGCTAGCAACGACCACCACCACCATCACCCACAGCGATCACCGTCATTCTTGCCTGGGCAACTCCAACAGTGAAGCATCGCGGCTTTCAAATTGAATCCGTCAGTGGAGACTTATAAGTTGATTCCTATTGCGGAGGATGCACGTGAAATTCGTTAATACAGACTTACAAGTGGATGCCGAGTGGAATTCCTGTATGGGGCATTACAAACTGTTTCCTAGTATGTCGGAGACAATTGAATTCCTTGTGTACAGATTTACACAGTGATTCCTATGAAGCTGCCTTCGTATGGCATCCCTTTGCGGGGTACTACACGTTGACTTCGAGCGTGTAGGTTACAAGTGAAATCCTTAGGTGTAGGTTTACAGAACCAGGTGCAAGGGATTCCATTTGAAGACCGCACAGCAGGAAATAAGGAAATCCTTTGTGCAGGCTTGCAAAGTGATTTCTATTGTGCGACCTTCACATCGGATTCTGTTGTGCCTAGCTCAGAGGGGGGGGGGCTGGCCGACGGAACAAAACAAACAAAAGACACAACAAACATACAAATTGGGAAACCAATAACGCG